GGAGCCCGGCAGCCTACCAGTCAAGTTAAGCTTGCGACAGCCGAGTTTACTTCGAGATTAAGCGGCTGCCAGTGACCTCCTGCTTCGCCTCGCCTCACCCACCCCGGAGCACAGACTGATCGCTGTATCCATCTGGCGACCTTGTCGCCCGCAATGCCTTTTTGGTGCCTCTACGACTATACTCATAGACCTGACCTGCGCGCGTATCGTTCACTCGGTCGACTCGGACTCGGACTCGGACTCGCGCTAGGCTAGGCTTGCCGTTCTCGTGCCTCTGTCTCCAGATTCGAGCTCAGCGTTGTGTGCTGTAAGGTGGGCAGTGACAATGAGCCTCATCAGGTATTATACGTATCGCCCATCCGAGTCGGACCTCTGCTACCCGACACTTGCTCGATGCCTAGTTATCAACCTAACTCAACTCGCCTATCCAGGTCCAAGTCTACACGTCTCGACGTCGCTGCCCCGCGACTTTGTGACCCAGCCGGTTTGCGAGCTGGAGCGGCGGGCGGCGGACAGCAAACCTCGCTCGTCGAATGTCTGCTGTCTGCCACGACTATAAGTATAGACCTGAACTGCGCGCGTAGCGTTCACCGTCTCCGTCGACTCGGACTCGGACTTGCGCTGGGCCAAGCTTGCCGTTCTTGTGGCCCAGCCTCGAGTCACAAGTTGGGCGTCGTGCGGTGGGCGGTGGGCGGTGGGCGGTGGGCGGTGGGCGGTGGGCGGTGGGCGGTGGGCGGACATCGTGTCACTTGTCGGACGTCTGCTACACGATGCTTATTTGATGCCCAGCTCTCCACTCAATTCTACGCGCCTATCCAGGTCCAAGTTTACGCGTCTCGACGCCGCTCCCCCGACTCTGTTACACGGCCAGTTTACGAGTCGGGCGTCGTGCGGTTTGCAGTGGGTATGCGCAATGACTATGAGCATAAGGTATCACTTATCGGACGTCTGCTCTGCGATAAAGCACGACTAGCCAAGTCTACTCATCCGTCACCGCTCCCCCGCGACCGCTCCTCGCCGAACAGAACCCTTCCACACTGAGGAGTCCACAAGCTCGATACCAGCACCGACTCGAACACGACCGTCGTGTCCACCCGCTCCTTCCCCAAACACCCACAAAAACTCGAAGCACCGAGCATCGAGCACCTATCCACAGCGATGATCTGCACTCCCAGCACCAGCACCCCACGCCGTACGGTGCCAAAGCCATGGTCCCGGCACCCACTGCCGTCGATACTATCTCGCCTCAGGCTGCACCGTGACTTCATGAATACGCACCTGGCGCCCAATCGATCTAGTCCACGTCCACGTCCACGCCCACCTACCACCGTGCGCGAGCCTGAGCATGCCCCACGCGCCTACGCATGCCGACTCCCGGCCCCGGGTCTGCGCCTCGCCGTGACGCAGGCGACTACCTATGTAGTGACCAATGACCGTCGTTGCGTGTTAGACTCGGACTCGGACTCAGGCTTAGATGAACTCCATAACCTAACCACGAACCACGAACCATGACGATCTACGTACAAGTACAAGTATATCTACCCGAGGCCGAAGCCGAAGCTGAAGCCGAAGATGAAGGCGAAGATGAAAGGGGGCACAGATCGACCAACAATGCATATGCCCGTCTGAAGCTGAAGCTGTGTCCAAACCCGTCCACCGTCCACCGTCCACCGTCCAGCAGAACGCAGAACCATTCCACACACCATCAACCCCGCCACCCAACTAGATCCACCCACCCATCCTCACCACACCGCACCGCACAATGAAATCACCCCACCCAATCCATCCAATCCATACGATACGATAACCAAGTCCACTCCGGATGGATCCATGGTATTACAAACATAACATGCTACTTTTTACAACAGCCACGTCCACATCCACATCCACCACATCAACCACATCAAGCTCAAAAACAACAACAGCAGCAACAGCAACGACAATCGAGCAGGCGGACCATAACACGAGACACGAGACACGAGACAAGCACGGGCCGTTACGAAGAAGAAGAGGAAGGAGAAGGAGAAGGAAAAGAGGAAGAGGGGGAAGTGTATGTATTGTGTATTCTGTATTCGGTATTGGAGATTTGGAATTTGGAGGTGTTTGGTGTTTGGTGTTTGGTGTTTGGTGTTTGGTGTTTGGTGTTCCGCCGCAAAAAAAAAGAAACAAAGAAAGAAACAAAAAACGAAAGAAATCAGCGAAAGGGAACAAAGGGAAAGAGGAGGGACCGTTCGTCCGCCCCACCGCATAGCGAGTAGCGAGTAGCGAATGGTGAGTGGTGAGTGGTGAGGCGACGGGGCGGGTATAGTGCACAAGGGAAGTGGTAAGGGGTGAGGACAAGTGGTAAGGACAAGTGTTAAGGAAGGTGAAAGTACGGTGAACGTAAAGCGAGGTATACGTATTCGATACGCGTGCGCTGGGCACCTGGGCACCTGGAAAAACGAAACGAAAGGAAAGTGGAGATGGAAGTAGAACGCAAACGAAACGGAAGTGGAGATGGAGGAGATGCGTGCGCGCAGGGGAGCAGGAGCAGGGGGTTATCGATTATCAGGCGTGTAGATCGAGCAAGCGTGCAGGTGGATTGCAGGCAGAGACGGTGGGTTGTGGATTGTGGATTGCCGAGAGAGAAGGATGGTGCTTGGAGACTGAAGGTTGGAGTCCGATACTTGGAGCTGGGGTGCTTGGAGTTACTGTACGTGCTTGGAGTTACGTGCTTGGAGTTACGTGCTTGGAGCTTGGATCTGGGTGCTGGGTGCCGGTGGCCTCTACGATTACATCTAGAGTAGCATCTACGAGTCCGCACGGGGCAGCTCGGGGGGCGCCGCCGAGCGGCTCGAGCTGGGCCTCGACGAGCTGTTCCCCAGAATGATCAGCGGCCGCGCTCATATCGAAAATAGGAAGATGGGGAGATGTGAAAATGGGAGGATGGGAGGGCGGGCAGACGGGAGGAAAGGGCAGACGGGAGGAATGGGCAGGCGGAAAGGGCAGGCAGAAAGGACAGGCAGAAAGGGAGGGCAGGCAGAAACAGCACTCACGAGTCCTTCGACTTCCTGCTCGGCTTCGGCCAGCCCCATACCTCGCGGATCCAGCGCGCCATGTTGACCTCCTGCTTCATGAGGCCGACGACCCACGGGTGCGCGAGCATCTCCTCGGGCGGCGGGCGCAGGGCGGGGTCTACGCGCAGCCTGGGGTCACGCACATCGACACAAGTACGCACGCACACACCACACACATCAGCGTCGGCGCGGCAGCAGGCACGGCGGGAGAGGGCTCACGTTTCCTTGATAAAGTCCTTCATCTCGTCGCTCCAGTGCACGCCCGCCTCGTCCTCGAGCTGTGGCGGCTGCAGATGTGGATGTACACGCGGACGCGGAGGACGCCTGGTCAGCAAAGGCGGCGGCGGAGGGGGAGAAACGGGAGAGGACGGGGACGCACCTCGCTCTGCGTCACATGGATCATGAGCTCGATGGGGGGCAGATCCGCCGCGAACGGGAAGCGGTTCTGCACGAGCTCGAGGAGCGAGAGGCCCGTCGACCACACGTCCGCGCGGATGGAGTAGTCGAGGCCGGAGAGGCGCTCGGGCTGCGCGTCGGTAACCGTCAGCACAAGCGCAAGCGCGAAGGAAGAGAGAGAGAGAGGGAGATGGAATGGGATGGAGGACGCACGGCCATGTACATGCTCGTGCCGGTGAAGGTGCCGGCCATGGACTGCACGAGCTCGCCCGAGACGCCAAAGTCGCAGAGCTTGACGACGCCCTCGCGCGAGAGGAGGATGTTGGACGGCTTGATGTCGCGGTGGATGAGCCGCTTCGAGTGCAGGTACGCGAGGCCTTGCAGGACCTGGCGGGGCGTGTCAGCGGCGCGCAGGAAACGGACATTCGGAATCGATGGAGGATGCATGGGTGATGAAGACGCACCCCCTCGGCAAGCCGACCAGCGACCTTCTCGCCCACGCGCGCGCCGCGCTCCTTGATGCGCTTGCCGACGGCCTCGAGGCTCTTGCCCTCGCAGACCTCCATGACGACCTTGATCTCGCTGGAGGACGGGGACATGTACGCGCCGTAGAAGTGGATGATGTTGACGTGCGCGATGCTGGTGATGACGCCGAGCTCGCGCAGGAGCTGCTTCATGGGGGCCTCGCGGGTGGTGATCGTCTTGCGGGCCATGAGGACGCCGGTGCGGATGTCCTTGACCTCGTGCACGGCGCCGCCGGCGCCCTCGCCCAGCCGCGCGGTCTCCTCGAGGACCTCGTCGGACCACTCGGTGTGCGGGTACGTCTGGCGCTTCTCCTCGCCCGGGAGCGTGACGGGCGCGGAGGAGCTGCGCGTCTCGATCTCGGTGATGGTGCGCCGGACGTCGTCCATCGAGGGCGGCTTGGTGGTGGTCTGCATGGGCGGGCGGATCGTGGCCTCGTCGACGTCGTCGTCGTTGACGGGGGCGGGCACGGAGAGCGGGGGCCCGCCGTAGTAGCCGCCGCCAAAGGCATCTGTGGGCGAGTCGCTGCGTGCCTGGGGCTTGTGGGGGGTGCCGACGGAGAGGCCGCCGAGGGAGAGCTTGAGGGAGGGCTTTGCGCCGTTTGCGGGGGGCGTCGGGGTGGGGATGCGCAGATTGAGCTTGGGGGTCGGCGTGAGGGATCGCGCGGCGGGGGCGGGGGGCGGCGGGGCGAGGGAGGCGGGGACGGGGGCGGGGGCAGCGACGGGGGCGAGTATAGAGGCGATGTCGACTCTGGGCTGCTTGCGAATGTTGAGCGGGGCGACTTGGGCGAGGGATTGCGGGTTGGGCGAGGCAGAACGTTGCCGGTTACGGGGGCCGATGGGGCGGCCGGGTGCGGAATGCATCGATGCGCCGTTGCCAGAGAGCAGCATAGAGTCCACTCGAGCTCGTACACCGACCAGTGCCCTCAGCCGCTCGTCCTCGACGCTCGACACCAGGTCCCAGGGCGAGGCGCCTGCCACTCTCCTCTTCTCTCGTTCTGACCAGTCTCTCTTCCTCTGCTACCACGGTACTGTAGCCAAGTGGTTACGGCGTCACGTTTAGGCAATCAAAGCTGATCCGTGATGGGAAACCTCGCGAGTTCGAATCTCGTCAGTGCCATCTTTTTGTTCTCCCGCCTCGAGGCAGCAGAACAATGGCGTCCCTTGTTTGGCCGTGTGGATGTCCGCGTGTACAATGAGCTCACGATCGGGCCCGTCCACGATCAGCCAGCCATTACTATATGTTCTGCTTTTTTGCCTCCGTCCTGCCTGCTCACCCCCACTATATCCTATCACTCTGAGTCTCCCACGAATCCAAAAGAGACACGCAGATGTATTCCCCTTCGAGCGCCTCCCAGGCCTCCCTGCCGTCCTCCAGCTCCTCCCAATCCTATCTGTCCCCGCCCCCCTCCCCCGCCCAGCCGCGCAAGCCCGCCCAGCCCATCCGCCTGCAGCCCATCGGCGTCGACCCCGCGCGGCTCGTCGGCAAGGTGCTCACGCGCATCCGGCGCTCGCCCGTGCACCCGTCCGTGACGCTCGACTTTGCGGACCACACGACGTTCCAGGTGCGCGTCGACGGGTACGACCCGGCGCACCGCGGCGTGCCGAAGGAGCTCGAGACGAACGCGGCGCTGCACGCGCTCGTGCCCGGCGCCGCCCCGCGCGACGTGCGCCTCACCGTCACGCACGCGCGCCTCGTCGGCGTGCGCGACACCGCGCACGACCTCCGCGCCGCGTCCGCGGGCCGCTGGATCGTCGAGCACCTCGCGCTCGCGCTCCGCTTCGCCGAGCCCGAGGCCGACGGCTGGCACTGCGTCTGGGCGACCATGGCCGAGTACGACGGCCGCTTTGGCCCGTGCCTCTTCCGCAGCTTCGATGACGTCTATCTCGACGAGATCACCGCGAGCCCGAGCGCGCCCCGGACGCACCGCGGCAGAGGCAGAGGCAGATCGCGCAAGCAGGCCCGTACGACCGCGAGGGCCTAGCGATCTACTTAATTCCTCGGACTCCACTCTGCCTTGCCTATTCATGCATCATGGTGCGTGCCTCGGGGTTCTCCATCCATCCATACACCCATGCTGAGCCCGCCCGGGCCTTTTAGCTGCCGCCCCGTCCCTTCTTCTTCCCAGAACCCCCTTGATCCCCCGTGCTATCTCGACGTTCCAGTCAACGCCCGGTGCTATTGCTTTCTTCGTTTCGTTTCATCGTTTCGCTTCGTTCGCTGTGTACCATGTTCCCGCTCCTGCATCTGTCGCATGCCGCCACGAGTCATCTGTGTACCACCACCGTCACCACAGCGCAAGATCTGCATTGTACTTGTACTATCTACTAACTTATCTCCACCGCGCTACCCCCACACCTCCTACCACTCTACCTCTCCCGCCGCTGTTGTCATCGTCTTGTTGTCATCGTCACTGCTACTTACTGCTACTGTTGTTGCTACACCCACCCCACACGAATAAGTACTCTCGAGCTCGTATACAAATGGAACAGACCGGAATGGAATGGAATGGAAGCGAAACTGAAACGCATATGTATACATTCGGACTCCCCCTCCGCTGCCCCCGTCGCGATGCGCCTTGCGCCTGACAACGCACGTCGCATGCCAGCTGGACAGCATGTACCCAACGCCGAATGTGGCAGGACGCATTGAAGGTCGAAGCCCGTTATAGCACTCTGCCTGTCTGCCCGTTATAGCACTCTCAGCACCTGCCCTGCTACAGTACTAAGCGGTGGGCGCGCGTGCTATTAGTATCCCATCCCATCCCATCCCAGTACCGTACAGTACAGTACGGTGCCTGCCTGCTCGGTGCCAGTCCAGTCTGAGTCACAGTCCAGGAGTATCTATATAGGAATCCGAAAGTGCTTGGAGTCTTGCGCCCGCCCGTCGCGATTGGCTTGGACAGGACAGGACAGGATAGGACAGGACAGGATAAAATAGGATAGGATAGGACAGAATTGGCTTGGATGGGATAAGACAAGATAGGACACATGCAGTCTCCGAGTCAACCGCGCACGCGCACGCGCGTATGTCCGTGGCGATCCCTCACACGTCGACGTATGTAAGTAGACGATATCAACACGAACCCGAACCCGTCGTCTACGTCGAACCCGTATGCGTATACGTATGCATATTGGTACCGGCGTAGTGCAATTCGCTATTCGCTATTCGCGGCTGGTATGGTGTTGAAATGGACATGGACATGGACATGGATATGGACGTGCTGCTGGTGCTGGTTCTATCGGCAGCAGTACATGTAGCTGAGGGTGTGAACGTTCGCGGACGCGGGAGCGGGGGGATTGGCGATTTAGCTCGGCAGCGGACAGGCCGAGCGATGGACGTTGCGCAACGAGCAACGAGCGACGAGCATGGAGTAGCAAGGAGGGAGCAGGGAGTGGCGAGATCGCCGTCGCGAGGACCTGCATCCGAGTCCTCCGTTTGATACTGTACTTACACGAGCACAAGCCCGGATAGCCATGGCCGATCGAGAACGAGAATCGGCAGGAGTAGCTTTCAGGATTTGCGGACGCGGAGGCTTTGACGGTTTGAGGCGGCTTCGCTCGGCAGGAGGCAGGCCGAGGAACAACGGCGCCGCGGGGTTGAGCTCGAGGGAGGAGAGGCAGATCGCCGTCGCGAGGACCCGCATCTGAGGCCTACGTTATGGATCGGGTTCTGTACACCAGCCCCGGATGGCGTGGATCGAGCCCGAGGAGGATCGTGCGCTGTAAGGAATAAGGGAATAGATGGTGTAAGGTACTCAGCCTCCGACGTCGACTGTTGGCTCGGCTGCAGGTGTGCCGAACGATGAGCATCAGGCAACGAGCGGCGAGGTTGCGAGTCCTCCATTTTGGATCGACTTCTGGGACGGCCGTGGCTTCGGATACTGTTTCGGTAGCAGGTATGCCGAGCGACGATCGTGAGCGGCGGGATAGCTGTCGTGAAGTTGCGAGTCCTCCATTGGGTTGCGACGGATTCAGACAGCAAGCGGCCCGGTACACATAGATAGAGTTCGAGGAGGATCGCGCTGAACTGCAAGGGATAAGGGATTGGACGGTTTAAGGTACTGAGCCTCCAACGTCGACTGTTGTCTCGGCGGCGGGCATGTCAAACGATGAGCGAGGGGTAACGAGCGGCGAGGTTGCGAGCCCTACCATTATGGATCAACTTCTGTACACGAGTATGAACCCCGGATGGCTATAAACCCAGCCCGAGAAGGATCGCAGGCTCAGATTGGGCTGCGACGGATTCAGACAGCAGGCGGCCCGGTGCACAAGCAAGCCCCGGATAGGTGCAGATAGAGTTCGAAGAGGATAGCGCGTTGGAAAGGATCAGGGAATAGACGGCGTAAGGTACGTACACTTGGCCTCCGACGTCGACTGTTCTCTCGGCAGCGGGCATGCCGAGCGATGGAGAACGGGTAACGAGCGGCGAAATCGCGGGCCCTCATACGATTGTGCGCCAGTCCTGGACGGCATGGATCGAGAATGGTACGAGTGATGAGCAACGAGCAACGAACAGCGAGCGGCGGGAGGGAGCGGCGGAATCGCTAACGCGAGAGTTCACCGAGCCCCCACCGTGAGCTCTATCATTTGATTCCGTCCACCAGCCCCGAATGGCCAACGATCGAGAAGCGTCACAGACCCAGATCCGTGCGCGGCGCTGCGAGTCCCAAGTTGAAGAGTCGGCACCAGAAAGGGATCTGCATCTGCATCTGCAAGTACCATGGTACCGCAGGCAAGCCGAACGACGTCAATGACCAACGAACAGCGAGCAGCGCGATCACTCCGAACCCTAGCATGAGCCGATTCCGTGCAAGAACACCAGATGGCTATGGATCGACAAGAGGTTCCGGGACGTCCGTTGGATTATGTGCAGGAGCCCCGGATGGTCATGGATCGAGCTCGACGAAGATCGCGCGCTGCCAGGGGCTCGGATGACGAGCATTGAGGCCTTGAGGCTGAGCTGTCGCGAGGTACCGAGCCCTACCACTCGATCTCGTTGACCAGCTCCAAACGGTCATGGATCGAGAAGGAGCACAAACCCCGATCTCCGCTAGAAGTGCGAAGCTGAAGCTAGAGTAGGATCCCTGAGTCGGCGGGGCACCGGGGGAGAGATCTGTAGGCAGAACCACGGGCAACGAGCGACGAGCGACCAAACCGCCACCCTCGTCCCTGTTTGTCGCAAGTTTCCGAGCCCGCACCGTCCCATCCGCTTCGATTGACTCCTACGCAGCCCCGGATGAGCATAGAGCCTACATTCATCGCGGACGGGCAGCACCGACGACCGAAGCACTGAAGCTGTACTTACTGTTCGGTGGCATAAATAGACCCATCCATCTCAGCGCGCCGGCGGCGACAGAGCGGACCCGATCCCTGTCGGCGTCGATGTCAGTGCTATGTATTGCTGCGCGCTGGATGCCGAGCGCTGGACTGTATACGTATTTGTATTCGGTATTATATTGAGTAGAGGACCGAAGACTGAAAATTGAATAAAAAGTGCTCACCCAAGCGCTCGTCCTACAGCTCGAGCCCGCGACCATAACAGCGCGCTCACCGGCAGGCCACGCTGGACGACCACGGCTGGCAGAAAGGATCGACCCCCACGACGCATCTGCGCAGACTCACAAAGCGCGTCACACCCACCATGCATCACGCCCGGCCGCTCCCGGCCTAGCAGGCCCATACCCCATCTCCCCTCATCCCCATATATCCGTGCATCTGCCAAAAAGCGCACACCCGCCCTCGCCCTCGCGTTCGCGACTGATCGACATCCTCGCATGCCCTGTCCTGCCGTACGCGAGACGGGACGGGGCCGGGGATGCATCTGCATCGCCCGATACGCGGCTGCCGGCTACGGGCTACCCCGCACACGCGCGTGCGCTGAATTTCAGAAAGCCAAACCCAAAGCTAGAGCCAGAGCCACAGCCGGATGCGTATGTAGAGTACATCTGCGCGGCCCGAGGAGGCCACAAAGCCGCCACGCCCGGGCCCGAGGAGAGCGTCCGGCCCGCCGCTCGATTGCTCTCGTCTCGTCCTCGTGGAGCGGAGCGGACTAGCGAGCAACAGTGCCCCGTCCACCGTCGGCCAGGCCCGTCTAAGCTCCTCGCAGATGAAATGATC